AATGTCAAATGAAAAATTCTACAATAATAAATATTTTGTATCCTAGCTAGTACAACTACATTTTTTTTTATCTGTAAAATATTTATTCTTTAATATTAAATCATGTTTTCACTTTAAAATTTCAGTGCTATACAAATAGTGTTAACTAAATTCTGGCCATATAGTCCTAGTGGTTCTTACTCTGAACCAGAGAATTCATAGTTTATAGAGCATGCCAAGATTATGAAGAAAGCAAAATGAAGCACGCTCTCATGATGTATATAGTACAGAAAAGAATGTGAATAGTACTATATTCTAAAAAGTAACCACAAACATTACATGAATTCGAAGGTAGCATCATTCAATTAATAATTGAACAACTAGATAATGTCACATTATGGTTACATTATAGAATTATTATGGAATGTATTTGTTGCCTTGTTTCTTGGGTTTGCACGTTTACAAACACCTGTACCATTCTGTTTTAATTCTATTAGCATATGATGAATACATTTTTTAGATTAAATACTGACTATATGAAACATATATAATGATTGGGATTATCTTGAAGTTATTGCATAATTGCACGATCGGAGGATGATGATGGATTAAACTTTTCTCAATCTTGTTCATTTGACTTTTATTCTTTAAAGAAATTCCTCCCTTGTTAGTTAATTAAGGGTACCCTAAAAGCTGTCCCCATCCATTTCATTTGTTTGAATTTAATTATGTAGAATTAACGAGTCAAAGTTCTTATGTAAATATATATATAATCATATATTAATATATATCCCCACTCACAATCATAGTTGAATGTGGCACTGTTAGCAATATTGATCAAAGATTCATAGTAAATTATGTGTTGAATTATATTCGTCAAAGTTTCATGGTAAATTATTCTACTGATAGTAATCTGCTAAATCTAGTTTATAAGAATCAACTAAAATCCACCGATTATCCACAAACAACTTCCATATATATATTTTCTGGTTTATATGATGTGACAATTGTTTTATATTTTTTCTTTTAAAACCAATTGATTCCTCTAAATTAGTGTTTTTTATTTTGGTTTTTTATTTTTTTGTTTTAGTCTTTATATCTATAGTAGATAAAACACTATCGTCTTTATCACTCATTTATCACTTATCTTTGTTTAATATATAAATCGAAATTTATATATTTGAAATTTAATGTTTAAAATTGATTTTTCCAACTTGTGATACTTGCACAATGCACAAGTTTAAATTTCTTTTAGTTATTACCTTAGGAGTTGAAGTTTATTCTATTGGCAAGTCACATCAAATAAGACATATGCAGTAAAAAATTGAATATTTACTAGTTAAATATTTTAATTTTTAATGTTAATTAAGAGTTTTAGAACTTCATCATTGATTTAAAACATTTTATTGTGAAATTAAGTGAATAAAATATAAGAAGAGAAACTCATAATTTGAAACCAAAATTATATAAAAGTAGTAGCATAAACCCAAAATTTACGATTGAATTATGATGCATCCCACTGAAGCTCATACTCTCTTTGATATATATTGGAGAGGTAGTACAATTCTAATCAAACTAAAAACAAAATCTTATTATCAATTCAATAGTTAATCTCATAACGAGCATAAGAGTAAAAAAAACAGATCATTTATATAAAAAAAGTAATTTATATAAGAATTTTATATAAATAGATTCGGTTGAAATCTTGATTCAACGTAAAATTGAAAAGAATTTTATTTTGTGGAAAAATTAAAAAATTATTTTTTTAAAAGAAGATAAATTAAAATTTACTACTATACTATTGTAAGAAGGTAAAATACATTTAATATATATATATATATATATATATATATATATATATATCTATATATATATATATAATATATATATATATATATATATATATATAATATATATATATATATATATATATATATATATATATGTACTCAATTTGTTTGAGTTCCATGGTGCATGATCAATTAACATGAAAAGATAATTTAAATGGTACCTATACTTCTCATGATGGTTATAACTGGCTCAACAAACCTCAATTTGTTCAGACTACAACAGACAATACTATTGGAAATGGATATGACATATTCCTACTCTTAAGAAGGTGAAATTCTTCCTTTGAAACAATTTTACATAAGTCCCTTCCTACGAGATCGATGTTGTGTCATTGTTGTATGCTCCAGATGAATATATGTTCTAGATACAATCAGGGCATTGAGATGACTCTACACCGCCTGAGAGAATATGAATTTGCTACTTGCTTTTGGAAATCTATTGGCTTCTTGGACCCCCTATTCTTCCAAATGATTGGATTAGACATGGAATCAACGATGACTCTATCTTTTTGGATGCTTGCTAGTGGTTGTGGCGCGCTAGGAACAAATTGTGAGTTGAAGTGGTATCTTCCTATACTTTGAAACTCATCATAGTGAATTATGCTAATCTGTTAGCTAAATGTTTTCCCAAGCATACTTTGTCTCATCCAACAAGAACGATTACCTGGAATGCGCACAAAAATAGTAATATGATTTTGAATATTGATGACAGTAGTCTCGGTAATCCTTGGGTCTTGAGTTTTGGTGGATTAATTCAAAATTTTAATGGTGCTTGGGTTCACAGTTTTGCGGGTAACATTGAATATTCCAGCATCCTTCATGTTGAGCTAATGACTTTATATCATGGACTGTGGATGGCCTGGTAACTTGACATCAAAGATCTAATGTGTTATTCTGACTCCAACTATGCTGTCAAGCTTATCTAAGAGTTTGTTAACGTTTGATATCACAATATCGTGATTCTTCACAAACATTAAAGAGCTTCTCTATAAGGAATGATGAGTTCAATTATTTCATATTCTTAAAGAGAGAAAGACTCAAGCAGGGCCAACCCAAATATTTTAGAGATTTTGTTCTCATTTTAAAAATAGGACCCCTAATAAGAAATAAGAAATAAGAAATAGAAAAATATAATTAAAAAATTCCCTAATAGAAAGAAATTGAGAGAAAAAAAATAGTCTAATCCAATTAACCCTAAATATCCAACACGTTACTACTATCCAGTTCATTACTTCACAAATTATGAATTTATTTTGCACAATTTTATATTTAATAATTATATTATATTATATTATATTATATACTAATTAAACCCAATACTTTTAATATTTAAATCCCTATGTGATGACTGGTGAGTCTACTTGAGGACAAGACAACACAATATTGTTATTATAACATTAAAAAACCATATTTCTATTGATTAATATAAAAAATATAACAATTTTTTTTATTAATAAATAAGTTTAATTGTTATACAATAACCGTATAAATTTTTTCATCATCAACACATTTGTAAACATTTGATTGTATTACTTTAAAAAAATTAAAATCAAAAGTAAATATTTTAAATTAATTAACCGTTGTAATTAATTGATAATGTTAAAATTTTTTAGATCATTAATATATTTCAATTAAATTCTTTATAAATATAAAAACATATGAGATAATATTTGTCAAAGATCAATAATTAAAAAGAACATAAAGAAATGTTTATTTTTTATAAACTTTTAAGAAAAAGAGATTAAACTAAATCATAAAATTAAGTCCGATTAAAACATACAAAAATTAATTCTAATGATCCATATATTTAAAAAAATGAAATTAATGTCCATAATTATTTCGTTCAATTACATTAAAAATTTCTAGCTATTGCTTGGAAAACAAATATTTTTTAATTATTATATTGTTTAATTTCAACTATAACTAAATCATATGGAGTATTATATTTGTATGATTAATTAAATATATCAGGAAAATGAAAAACTATATTTGAGGTCATAGCACAATATAAATATTTATTATTGACGATTATAAATAAAATGCTTGACAAAACTTATCAAAAAATGTATTAATAAATTAATAGCACTATTTAGTATTAAAAACATACATAAAAAATGCAGGAAAAATATTTATTATTAATTACTATAAAAAATATAAACAAAATTTGCAATTATACACTAAACACATTATTGTTATTGTAAATAAAAAAACATGACCCATATTTTCTATTGATTAAAAAAAAAAAACATATAACAAAAATTTCTAATAATAAATATATGATCAACACTTAAAAAAACACAATATATATATATATATATATATATATATATATATATATATATATATATATATATATATATATATATATATATATATATATATATATATATATATATATATATATATATATATATATATATATATATATATATATATATATTTGATAAACTTTTATAAAAAAAGAGAAAAATAGATTAAAGTAACTCATGAAATTAGATATGCTTACAACACACAAAAGTTAATTCTAACGATTTGACGTATATATTAAAAATCAATCTGTAATAATGTCCAAAATTATTTCATTCAATTAATTAGAAATCTCTAATGTCCAAAATTATTTCATTAAAAATCAATCTATAATAGTGTCCGAAATTATTTCATTCAATTACATTAGAAGTCTCTAGCTATTGCGTAGAAAACAAATATTTTATTAATTAAGTTGTTTAATTTCAATTATAATCAAATCATATATTATATTTCTATAATTGATTAAATATATCAGGAAAATTATATTTCTAAAATTAATTATTGCCTAGTTACGATTAAAGAAACAAAGTTAAAATTAGAAATATCAAATTCATCCAAGAAAGGGATTATTAATTGATACTTATAGCAAAAAAAAAGAGTTTGATTATATGAAGTAAAAGTAAATTTAAATAACGCAGAGAAAATAGTCTCTCCCTGAACGCATTTACTTCAATCAAATCCATTCCATTTCCCAACTCCACCATTAACATTCAATTTATTCATTAACCTTGCACCAATTTCGCTCTCACGTGCCACCCACGTGTCCTTTCTCTTCTCACCTTCTCAAAACAAAACACATAAAAACTCACTCACACTCTTCAACTCTTAATTTTCAGTCTCTTAACGTCGTCGTTTCAAACCATTATGGATACAGTTACACCACCACCGTCAGTTAAACCACCGTCACCTTACCGTTCTTCTCCGTTACAGAATATCAGTCCCAGCATTCTCATCATCGTTACGGTTCTCGCCATCACCGTTATCGTTTCTCTAGCTATCTGTTTCCTTCTCCGCCACCTCAACTGCAACTGTCTCCGCCGTATCCCCGCCGATCGAAATCGGACATACACTGTATCGCATCCCAGCGGCAGAATCTCTCCGGAAATAGTACCTCCTTCAGTCATCGACTCCTTGCCTCTCTTCCCGTACTCCTCAATATCTCGCCGATCTTCCACCGCCGCTGACTGCGCCGTGTGTTTATCGAAGTTCAAAAACAGTGACCTCCTCCGTTCTCTACCTTTCTGTTTGCACGCTTTCCATGCCGACTGTATAGACACCTGGCTCCATTCAAATATGTCGTGTCCGCTCTGTCGATCTTCTATCTTTCCGTCTGATTCCGATCTCGCTAAGATTCTCCGATCAACTTCCTCAGATAGTTTCCATATTGAAATAGGAAATGTAAGCCGGAGAAGACCGGAATCCGTCTCCATCGTCGAAGTAGGCACCAATACGGAATCAATCGGCGACGGAAGAATCATACTCCATTGGATCATTCGAGTATTATGTCGAGGAGCCGTCAGAAGTTTTATTCACTCAAGATCACCGGAGAAGTATCTCCGATCAGAAAGATATTCACATTCCAGTTCTCCCTGAGAATCTTCCAATGTCGCACGAAACGTTAGAGACCGTCGGTGGAAATGACGGAAGTGGATATTGGTTGAAGGAGTACATGGACAGGCTTTCGGCTTCTATATCTTCGCGAACGGCGTCGTTTCGTAGCTCCGGTAGGTTCTTCAGTGGTGGTGGTGGCGGAAGTAGTCGGAGAATTGAGCGGTTGAGTATGATGTGGAAGGTGGCAGAATTGGTGAAGAGATTACAGAAATGTTTCGTTGGCTTTCGTCAGGGGTATGATTGGTAATTCTTATTAACATTTAGGTTTAATTTTGATTTTATATAGTTTTTACTTTTAGTTTTTGTTCCAAACATTCCTTTGGTGTTATTACTATATGGTTTCCATTTTGATTTTCCTTTTTGAGGCTTTAGAACAAATTTAGCGCAGAAGATCAGAATTTTTGGATTTAAAACATGCATTCTTTTTTGAATGTATGTTATAATATAGTAGTATGATAATAATTAGATCTTGATTCCTTTGACTTTTGGATATAAATCATGAAATGAAATGATCATGAATATCTAAATAATAGAGTAGAATAAAATGGAATGTAATGAATATTTCATTCAATTGATTAGAGTATTTTAGGATTGGGCAATACAGATTCTCTATTCCAGTCAAATTGGAGAGAAAAAAGTATGATATAAAGATAATGAAATGGAATAAAAATTCATACCATTTTATTTTATTCTATTTCATTTAATTTTAATTAGTCTAAATAATGAAATTTTAATCACATTTCATAGGGTCCAAATATATTTTAAAATGTTACTTTTATTTTTTGTAAGTATAGGAAGTTTTCATAACTATTTGAAATTCACTCATACAATCCTAAGTGTCTGATGAAAGTTTAAAGTCTAACGAGAATGAAACTAGATGAGAGTTTAAAGAGTGATTTTAACTTAAAATTATTTTTTATTAGTTGAGTTAAGATTTGTGAATTTCTTTCCAGCTTTATGTTTGATTAAATAATCGATATTTATATATAAGTTAAATTTATCAGTAATTTCATAAATTAATTTTTTTCTTATAACTGTAATGGAATGATGTAATATAGGGGATGCTTATATAAATAGTTAGTGTTATCTCTTTTCTATGTGCTACAATGGTATAATTTTACGATAGAATATTGAAAACTTGGGCAAAATAGACACTTGTCTAAATCCTATTTGTACGAACTTTTTTGTTAACTTGTGACATACTACGAATGAACATATACAGATATACTTACCTTATTATAGTGACATTAGTAAAAATCTTTGGCTTTGAAAGAGAAAAGAACAAAAGGACATACTTTGTTCGGTGATTGATGCTGTTTTTCGATGATGATATAAATAAGAGTAAAGTGTAGGGGTTTTATGTAGGTGAGTGAATAACCCATGGAAATGAATTTATGGTAGATCATTTATTGTATAATACCAACCGTTTTAATGGGGAAAGGACCTACTTCTGCATCAATTTCAAGTCTTTTTGTGACGATTGTTAATGTTTATAGTAAATGAAAGGGAGCAAAACTATTAATGATCACATATAATATGATGTTGAGAGTTTTTTTTTTTCTTTTCAATACTCATCTTAAAAAATTAAGTGTGTTTATTTATGCGGTGGAAAAAAAACTAGTTTTGAAAAAATTGATTTTAATTTAAATTGAGTTTAATTTAAGATAATTTATGTTTAAATATATTTACAATAAAAAATGTTGTTTAAATAATTTTATCAAATTTGCTTTTGAATATATAAATTATGAAAAGAGTGAAAAAGATGATGTTGTCAATTAAATGGCAACAAAGAAGAATTAATGAAAATGAAGAATTGATTTTAAAAAGTTAGTAGAAATTTTAGCTTCATAAAAAATCAATTCTAAGGGGAAAAAAACGCTGACGATAAACTGTTTGAAAATATTAAATATATCAGAATTAATTTTGAAAGACCATAATTAATTTAGAGGGTTTCTATCCGATAATCAAACATAGGCTAAATATAAACTTGATTTCGTTTTGAAAACTGTATATAAATTTTTTGAAATAAAGAATATACTTTTCATTACAAATTTTTTATTTTTAATTTTCTTAGCATGGACCCTGGGTAAAAAGCTCATTAAAGAATTTATGATTTGCTATTAAAGATAAAACAAAATGGAGTAAGGATAGGGACTGCACGCATATACAATTAAAAAATGATGTTAATGAATGTTTTTGAGACACTTTTTAAATATAGTAAAATATTTTAAAAATATGTGTAATCAATGTATTGAAAATTAGAATAATTAACTTTTTATAAAAAAATATTTTCTTTATTTTATATTTTTAAAGAATATCTTTGAGATATTCGTTAACACAACCCTTAAAAAATAGGTAAGTCAACATAATTAGAATATGTAAGTATTCATTTGAACGTACCTCAAGTTGATTGAGTTGATGAATATTATTATTTAGTTTTGATAATTTAAAATATTAAATATATAGTTAATATTTTGATTTTGATTTGTATTTATTATATATATAAAATGTTTTGTGGTTGTTTTATTTTATTATTTATTATATATTTTGATTTTGAAAAAAATAAATATATTTATTAAAAAAATAACTTATTTAAATAGATAGTGGCGAGACGAAGATATTCGA